TAGCGCCAAGTAATCCACGTTGGCTGGATTAATCCCTCGGTTCAATCTTTTGATAAAACGAGTATATGATAAGATCTGGTTCCAATCATTATCTGTCCAAGCTTGCCCAAAAAAATTTAATTTCATAAATAAATTTGCTAATTTTTTTCGGAAAAATTCTCGAGTCTTTATACAGTAAGCGGGACCAGAAGTACTTAATCTGTACTGGCTGGATTAATCCCTCAGCTCAACTTTCGACAGAAAAAAACGAGTACATGATACGACCGGGGTCCGATCATTATCAGTTCAAGCTTGCCCAGAAAATCTAGTAAATCTGCTAATTTTTTCCGGGTGAAAATCTCGAATCCATGTATTAAATGGGACCAGGATACAATTACCAGAACTGCATGAAATTAAACTTGTCCACTTTCATCATCACAAAATGACATCTTGACAAAGGTGAGTAAAGAACCCAGACACAGTGCTGAGATAAGACGTATGTAACCTAAAGAACCAAAACCTCTGACCTCACCTACATTACTGCTTCTATTTGAATCAATTTTACGTTTACTCATTTTTCTCACTTTTACGTCTACTCACACTACTGCTTCTATTTACTCATTTTATTGATAATCAGTAATCAACATATCTCTTTTGCCACTATTTTTTCATTGGTAATCAATAATTACTGCATAGTTTTTTATCTTTTTTAGCAAAAAAAATGTGAAAGAGACCGCTTGCAGTAGAGAACATCATAGCAACGTTCGCAGGCTTTCAGTTTCACATCTGTGCTAAGGCAATTTGCACAAGCTCGTTTGATCGATTTGCGAAACAGAAGACGCTGAACAACGGTGAGCTCAATAACCTCGTCATTACAGTCACTCGGGTCGTGAACTTGAAAGCTGAAACAACAACAACAAATTCACAAAAATCACTTTGCCAACTACGAGCTTTGATGAGATGCGTAGTGTAAGCGTACGTGATAGCTGAATTTGAAATCTTTAGCTCACGCATGGATCATGAACCAACGATTCTTTGACACTAAAAACTAAAAAAAGTTATGATAAAACAAATGGTGCGTAACGCTATGAAAAGTTGAAAACCAACGCGAAATCCGTGAAGTCCAAGGATCGGAAAGCGAAGTACAGCTTCGGAATTTCAAATAAAAACATAATTCTCCTCCCCCCTCCCTCGCCAATAATGGACTCATCTTGAGAGGCAAAACTATGGCTGCGCAACACTTTCGCAAAAATTTAAGCCAAATCAAAAATGACAAAGGATGAGGCAAAACAAAAAATATGTCTAAACGGTATAATTTTCAGCTTATACAACTACCAAAAATAACAAGATCGTCCGGGGATCAGAGTGGATATCACAAGTTAGTGATGATAACGGGATGTCGGGCTTAGCTATGCCAGATCCTTCGATCCTGGGTTGCGTACCTCCAGTTAACACCCATAACCTGTTCGATGTTTTTCGCATCATTTCCTCGGAGACCATTCGAGTGGTCTCACCTAATATTACAAGAGAAGGGGTAGGGGGAGGGAAAACTGATTAAGATTTATCATAAATTATCATCGAACTAAGAAATTCTTACGACAGGATGGAAAGGTTAGCAACGGCGTTAAAGGGGACACTTTTATGAAACAGCAGCTAATCAAACCATCAAAGTTAGTCAAAGTCAAACGTCAAAACCCTCTCCATATTTGCTCCTAAAGTTATCAAAGCGATCACTTCTCTGCAGCCGTCATATTGATGAGGTCCTATCTCGCGGTGTTAAGGCGTATACGACTTAATGGACCGAAACGTCTTGTCTCACTCTTACCTTCTGTTCTCATTTTGCTGTAATCCATCAAGTCTTCGTCATTTAGGCTTCCAAGGTCAACCTGATTGCTATAATCGGCTTATAAGAGCAAATTATAACATATTTCAGACAAACGCAAAGCAGGGGGTGCTGTCACCACTAATTTATCACTAAACAATCAAAAATTTCAAAGAATTAAGCCGAAAGCACTTACACATAAATAGTATCCGTAGTAAGTATATTGTTGACACTATCTTCTGGTGCATAAAGACGTGCAATACGATGATTGTTTACTTCAATTAAACGCAACTAAAAGGGATAATAATCATGATAATTAGAGTGATAACGAAAAGTATGAAAAACACGAGGATGTCTTCTCACGAATGTTTTTTTAAACCATGATATTAAACGCAACTAAAGGGGATAATAATCATAATGGTAGTGATAACGAAAAAAAAACAAGGATATCGTCTCATGGATGTTCTTTTAAACCATGATAACGGAAAAACTGTTAGTGCAGCTCCTAATAACTATATTTCGCCTATCATTTCTTAATTACTTGAATATTTGAAATGATCATTAAACTTGACTAGTCAGCAATGCAGCAGTGGTCAGAACAATTGTAAAAGTTATTAGCTGCCTTGATTTTTTTTATGATTTTTTTTTTTTGATTTATGATTTTTATAATTTATTTATAACTTTTTATAACTAATCTTGATATTTGTGCGGAGAAAAAAAACAACTTACGGCTCTTGGATTAACATTGACTAGCCGTGATAATGCGTCCAGAACCTCCACGACTTTACCATCTGCATTGTAGCGAACCGTAATCTGAAAAAGCATTAGCTAAAAAAAGTAAAATTTAAAAAAAAAGACAATCAATTAGCCGAACGGTCTAGCAAAAATCGCCGAAAGAGTGACCACCAAGCGATGCAGCACTGGTCAAAATAACCACAAAATGAAGAAGGAAAATGGTAAGGGTATCGGTTACAATGGCAAAAGTATTGGTTTTTTTCTTTTTTTTGTTCACATTAAACAATTATAATAATTGCATTAATACATATCTTTCATAACACTTCATAACACTTTAACATGCATTACACAATTAATTTAACTCTAACTTTCACTAATTTCAATTACCATAATCATTGTACTGACGTGGTCCAACTGTGGTGTAACGGCAGGAAATGTATACGATTTAATGTACCAAAATATTTCTTACTATTATAATAATCCAAGAGATTTTCTAATTTTCATTTCTTACCTTTCTTTTCCTTTTTTATGCGTTTTGTGCTGTGTAACAGCAGTACAAAACGCATATTGTTACG